GACGGGCAACTTCGGGGCGGTGGCGGCGGCGCCGGTGGCGGTGGTCGACGTTGTCCTCTGATGCCGCCGCCGCCGCCGCGCCTCGGGTTTGACGTTTGTGAGAACTCGGGCCGCCCCCGCAGCCAGGCCGCCGACTCGTGTGTTTTGTAATCAAAGTGTGAGGCTAATAAAGGGCGGCGCCACAGCCTCTTGACTCCGGCGTGGGAGGGATTCGCAGGCATTTAAACAAAGAAACTAGTTGGGGTTGGGCTCTCAAAGTCCTTATTTGGGTGTTGTGGCCAAGCCTGCGGTCACCTTTAGGTGAAGCGCGATTCCCGGGCACCGTTGGCTGTTGTGTCTTGGCTAGAGCTCGCTCGCAAGTCATAGCTGATATGGTGACTGTGATTGTAGGAAGTGCCCTTTGATTGACAGCAGGACATTTAAATACAGCCTCCGCTCCCCCCCCCCCCCAATTTTACAGAAACCCTGCGCGGCCAGGCCAGATGTCTTAGTCTCCCTCTGCTGGTCCGGGGAGAGAAAACCATTTAAATTACAGGGTTCTTTGCTGTGGTGAGTGCTAGTATAGTTCTGCTTCATTTTCAAGTACAGTTGGTTTTACTTAATCAGGTTTCAGGTTGGACGATTGTGACAACAGAAAAGGCACAACAGACTATCAGTTTAGTATACCTGCTGCCAACTACCAGTTTAGAAGACGAGCAGCGTCATTTTGTATAAAGGAAATCTCAGTCTGATAAGTGGTTAAGGAATATTGTTGCAACCTTGCCACTTGTCATTAAGAATAAATTAGCCAAAGTTCTTTTCTGTTACGCTACATGGATGTTTTCTTAGATTTTGATTATACATAAAAGTAAAATTTCAAGATCCCAAATCTTGCTAATTTTGTTTCTACGTCCTTTATTTCCATAACATATTCTAAAGCAAGCAGAATAGAGATTATCGAAAAATCTAAGTTCTGTGTAGAATAAAAATAAAAATCCATGGTGATTAAGCGTTCATGTTTTCAAAAGACTTTTATGAAATGGAAGTCTTGAGCTATGTAAGAAATCTGGTCCATTGTGCAATGTTGGTATTTGATAGGTTAGAGTTTTTTTCTGTCTTAACATAGGTAACTTAATACTGTTCAGGCATTTGCATGGAGAAGTTTGTTATGCAATTTCTTTTAAGTACAAATGTGTAAAAGGAAGTTGAAGAGGGCTTACCTGAAAGAGTATTGTGTTCTCTCGGCATTGTCATATAAATATGTGTAACTTCCTACTTGTGGAAATGACTCTCAAATAGCTTTTGTAGAGTCTCAGGGTCTTTTTGGTCATCAGCCCTCGAGTCGTCAGTGTACTTCAGATGTCCAAAGCTAGGAAACTTAGTGATGTTGCCCTGCCCTACAAAAAACAGTATCTTTTTAATGACTTAATTTTTAATGAAGTATTGATAATTTGAGGTCCATATGTTTTTCCTGTGATCAGTATTGTATTTATTCCAGTGTTTATTGTACCATGAAATGAGTGATTATTTTCAACACAGCAAACTGTGTTTAATGTGTTAATTATTAAACAAATGTCATTTTTTTCTATGAGAATTGGCACCTTAAGGACTAAGGTATATATATAATCCCACAGTCAGGTTTCCTTTAACTTCCAGAAATGGTCCACCTGCAGAGGAGGAAGGGGATACAGTGAATTGCCTTTACTTCGATGATTTCTTGATAATTCTTTTCCTTCAAGTACAAGAACTTTTTAAGTTAGTGAAATTAATGAATCTGGGTATACATTTTGGTTTTCTCTGCAGGCAGTTTGTGATGTCTCGAAATCTGCAAAGTTGTTCTTATTTCTCCTGTTAGGGAAGAAAGGTTCTTCTTGGTGCTTTTCAGCAAGGCAGTAGGCTGAGTGGAGCAGCTCTCTCTAGTCGAGGCTGTTAAACTCGAGCTGCCTCTGTGGGGCTCAGGAATTCTCATCCCTCACTTCTCTTATGCCTTTTTGCAAGGGAGCAGAAAAGACACCAGGCAGGGTACAATGTATAATTGATATTGTACTGGCGTGGAGCTGGAGATTAGCAGGGGTTTTCAGGAAGGTTCCTTCCAACCTGGTGCTGTCGTCCTGGGTGGAAGTAGGACAGTGGAGGGCCTTCCTGGTAATGCCCTACCTTCTCATCTGAGACATGGGACTTTGCAGAGTACTTTGATATTGTCCCATGAAAAACGGCCTCATTGCCCTAATTGTCTTAGAGCAGTGATGGCGAACCTTTTAGAGCTTCTAACGGTAACAAACAGCTAGCTGCAGCCTGGGTGCCTTACGTTTGCCGCCACTGTGTCTGTTGTGTCCCTATTAGAATCAAACACTTGTTTATTAGTCCTTTTAACCGTATATTCTTTTGATTTATAAAAGTAATACAAAAAAATTAGAAAGTATAAAAGATATGAAGGTACCTATGTCTTCCGGAGATAACCACTAATGCAGCATTTGAGGGGTGTCTGTATGTATATTTTTAAAAAATACTGGAATTTATTTGATGTGTTCTACTGCTGCCTTTTTCCAGTGTGTACAGTACTTTTCCTCATATCTTTAATATTCTTTGAAAACCTTTTTAGTGGATGCATATTGTTTGAAATCATTTTTCTTTTGTTTTCTTTACTTACTACTCTTTATTGTATTTATTAATGACATGCTTGGCATCTTTTTTTGTCTTTTTGAGACAGGGTCTCCATATGCAGCTCAGGCTGGCCTTGAGCTCACTTTGTAGCCCAGGCTGGTCTTGAACTCGCAACAATCCTCCTGTCTCAGCCTCCCAAGTGCTGGGATTAGAGGCGTGTGCCACCACGCCCGGCCATGCTTGGCATCTTTTAAAGCGAATTATTGTGATCATCTGTAATTATTTCCTTAGAATAAACCAAATGAGTACATGTGAAACATTCAGAAGACCTGGCATGGGTAGTACTCAGTAAGAATTTTCCTTGAACTAGGATAACTGGTCAGAAGGTGCAGGTGTCCTTGTGCCTGTTGTCAGATCGTCCCTCAAAAATGTTATTACGACTTATATTCCCCCAAGAGTGCCTACTTTCTGGCTCCCTGCATCCTCACCAATCTCACCTTCCTTCTGCAAAATAAACCTGCCACTCTGTAGGTAAATGAAAATTCCCACCCCAAAACTGTTCAGAGCAGTCCTTGAACTAGAACAACCTAGGTATCATCAACAGTAGATTGTGTTACATTCATAATACACAGTACTATTTGGTAATAAAGAGGAGTACAGTATTGAAGTAGGCAACAACGTGGATGAATGTCACAGACGTAAGGTTGAATGCAGGAAGCCAGACACAAAAGAGTGTACTGTTTGTTTCCATTTGTGTGAAGTTCAAGTGCAGGCATAATTGGGGAACAAGCCAGCAGTGTTTTCTTTGTTGGGAGTATTGGCTGAGAGGAGGCTCCTGAGGTGCGGGGCATTTTTTTATCTTTATCTTGGGTGCAGGGGTGAATGTATACATATCTACAGAATTGCTGTGTTGGGTGTGCAGTGAGGATTAAAATGGAAATTTTTAAATTTGTTTTAAGTGTATATTTCAATTACTAAAATAAAAAGTTTCTGACAACTAAAACCTCCCCAG